GCTTTTGGTCATATACCAGGATGAAAGCGTTGGGGAACACGTCTTTTTTCGTCCCCTAGTGATAAGCTATTACAGTTCTTCATCCTCCATTTCTTCCAGTGGGATTTCCCAAGTTTGAAATGGCTGAATCGTTGGAGTAGCAGCCAGTAGGGAACTGCGTGGGAGCTGGGTTTGGAATTTGCTCCATTGGAGGGTAAGTCACACCTGATTCTCATGGTGCTTATGGGCCAGCTCTGGTCCATTAGTGAAAATTAGAGCAGCCTGGGGGCTTGTCTAAATTATATCAAGTAACCAAGGTCTTCTGAGACTTTACATCACTTGTGAATTGGCACAGCACTGGGGTGTTGGCATTGCTCCCTCCCACCCTGCTGTGAGCAACCAGACAGGTTGCATGGTGGAGGGGACAGCTGGTTTAGAAGCTGGGGCTACTTTATAGCAGCAGAGAAGCCACCTGCACCAGAAGAGTTAGCTGAACAGTCAGAGCTGATGCCATAGGGATAGCACAAAGTAGACAGAATAGTAAGAGGTAATCCAGGGCACAGACTGATGGGTGAATAGGACACAGATATTAGATGGGTCAAAGCAGGAAGTTCTAGCCCAGGCCTGTGTTTTTAACTGCTCTACAGTATTTGAATCTGGAGGGTGGGTTCAGATGTTGATAGGGTCAGGGGCAAAATCCTAGTCCAGATGTGGTCCTGAATTACAACCCTCCAGCCCAAGGCAAGTGCAGTCTGGACCTGGGGTTTTGGTGAGGCTCAATTCCCAATGGTCCAACTAGACAATGTAAAGTTGAAACATACATATATATATATATATATTTTTTTTTTTTATTATTATTTATTTATTTATTTATTTTTTTGCACGTGAAAACCTATGGAAAAACATTGGCAGAAAGCTTCCAGTTTTCTGGAGCCTCTTTCCTAGCATGGATGTCCTGCTCAGGCACACTGGCTTGGTTACATGCCTGTTTTGGGGCTCTGCTTTTTCCATGGCCATTCTTGGGAAAGCTGATAGGAAAAAATGAAAAATGACACGGGTTGAGATTTCAGTTCCCTGAATGCCAAGGTCTCCCTTTTTTTTAATCTGGCCTCTTTGGGACCAGTATCAAAGGCCACGCACTTTTTTATTGGGAATAATGGAATCTTTTCCTCTCTGGAGGGAAACAATTCATTTACTCTCTTCATTGGAAAAAATGATTTATTCCTTTTTTTCATTCCCCATCATAAATCACAATGAGCTCCGGCGCCTTTAGGCCACGCCATGGTCAGGATAAAATGCTGAAGCCTGGAAATGTAAATAACAATTGCCTCTGAAGCGGATTCAGAGTCTTCTGGAACAGAAGATTAATTTCAAAGAAGAGTGACGGCCTGAGCCCTGCCGAGTGCAACGACGAGCTCCACTGTGGATGCCTTGCTGTGGCCGGGAAAGGGTCCCTGATATCACAGCTCCTATCAGCTAGGTTGTGATCTCACTTCATCTAGCCTGGTCATCTCTGCCATTGGCACAGAGCCCAGCAGAAGCAGACATGTTGCAGGTTAAATGATTATCCTGATTCTCTTGTGTCTGTGTGAACGTGAGCTCCGAAGCCCCAGCCCATTGCTCCTGTTGTAGTCAGTGGAAAGACTCCCATGGACTTCAGGTGGAAGGGGCACAGACACATTGATACTCCCTTTTATTTCATGCATTGATGGGAGCTTAAGGGCCAAATTCTGCCCTTAGTGACCCCACTGACCTTGCAGGCAACGCACAGGTGGAAATGAGGGTAGAAACTGACTCCTTGGAAGAAAGTTTGACTCTTTTGGCAGACAAAAGACAAAGGCATGAAATAATGTTAAGAACCACTTGGTGCAGCTACACCCACATCTTCCCTCGAGGTGAGCCACTGGGTGTGTCTACGTGTGTGCATTTACTGCACAGTAACCAAAATTACTGAGCAGCATGGCCATGCGTCTACCTGTGCACGCCTGTACTGGCGACTTACACTGACTTGAGCGTAAATACGATACCAGCACTATGCAGGTATCAAAGTTACGCCTGATTTGTTACTGAGCAGCAACACACATGTAGACACCTTACTGGACAGTAACAATGTGTGCGTGGACTGGTTTGGGACTAACTTTAGTCCCAAGTCAGTCCACACGCAGCGTTAATGTGCTTTAACATCTGCATGTGTAGATGCTGGCCTATTCCCACTTACTGCGCAGTAATTTACTGTGTGGTAAATTTAAGCTGGTGTAAATGCGCGTGTAGACATGCCCACTGAGAGCCAGATGGTTAGCAATGAGAGGTCTGCTTGCACTCACAGCCATACGTGTGCATGGGGATTTAGCACGACTGTGCACAGAGCTACTTCATTTGCATGAGTAGATGGCTCATTAGTGCACATTCACATGTGGATGTGCTGTTGCAAAGATATTTCTAAGTGCACTATTGGGCCCTTGGCGATAGCAGTGGAAGTGTAAGGCTGGTATACATTCATCCTGCCTGGAGCGATGCCTTCAATGCCCATCAAGGGTGAAGTGGGCATGAGCATAGCTTCCCAACTACAGCACACTGCAGAATCCAAGATATTGCTGCTGTTTGGAATTCATGATGCCTTTTGGAGGGCTCCGATACATCATGCCCTAACGACACATGGAGTTTTATGTTTTATTAGCACTCCAATTAAGCTTCCTTCTTTGGCTGGGTGCATGTGAACCCAGTTTTCAACTGCACATGCAAGCTGTTTGGGTTTGGTGGTGGGGTTCTGTTTAGGTTTGTTTCTTTCTTTTGTTTTTTGGCTTTTTTTTTATTTTTACTCTCACAAACAAGAGCGAACCCTCCGAGAGGTTAATTGCTAGGCTTTGTGGCTTTGTCTAGTATGGCTCCTCTTAAAGCCCAAGCTCACGTTACATTAGCAGTGCCATCTGCTCAGCACAGCCTGGGCCCCGTACATAATTCACCAGCTTCGCATGTCGAAGTTCTTATGAGCAATTGTAGGCTATTCATGAGGAAGTTACCTCTGAAGCGAGGATCAGGTGACTGGTTATCTGACACCCGTCAAGACTGACTTCTGCTCCGTTGTCCTTTTGCCCTTATTGTTCCTGACTCAAGGTTATGTGCGTTAATGGCCATTGTGGAGGTAACGAGGGTTTGGTCTTGTAAACCAGCTGGGTGGTCCCACGAACAGTGTCATTCTGCAAAGAAAATAAGCACGAACCATTCCCCCAGTCGTTTCTGTCCTGCGTCTGGCTGAGGTTTTTGCTATGGAAAAAACTCATGTTCCCTGGGAGGCTGGTTCAAAGCAATGTAGTCGTCTTCTCTGGAGGATTGCCCACCGTCCCTCATCGCTCCCCATAGCTTCATGGTGGTCAACATGTGCCGTATCCAAGTGAATTCTGTCGTGAAGGTGGAATTCAGTGAAGGAGGGGCAGTGTGGCCCTTGACCCTGGTGGAGCCTGCTATGACACACAGATGCCAGCTAAGGTCCTATTTTTAAATTTCAAGGAACAATATGAATGCTGGGAATTTCAAGGAACAGCAACATGAATGTAGCAATATGACTGCTGCACGTCATAATCGGTGTATAAGAGGCATTTTCTGTGTCTCCTATTTGGTTTTAGAGCAGGGGCAGGCAATTATTTCGGGCAGAGAGCCACTTACTGAGTTTTGGCAAGCCATTGAGGGCCGCATGACAGGCAGCCAGGGGCAGATAAATATTAATTTTCTAAATTTTTTAGGGGCCCCACGGTCCGGATAGAATGGCCTGGTGGGCCGCATTTTGCCCGCCCCTGTTTTAAAGTGTTGAGAGAGGCTGTTGCTAGCGATGACTAAAGCCATCAGAGTTAAGCCCCTTTCAGCTGAGTTCTCACTGGGTGTATCTACATGTGCATTTACACCAGATTAAATTTACTGCACAGTAAATTACTGCACAGTAATCGGGAATAGGCTGGTGTCTACACATGCAGGCACTAAAGCGCATTAATGCTGTGTGTGGACTGACTTGGGACCAAAATTAGTTCACGCACAGTGTTACTGCGCAGTAAGGTGTCTACACGTGTTACTGCGCAGTAACTAATCAGGTGTAAATTTGATCCCTGCCTGATGCCTTTGATACCTTTGATACCTGCTCAAGTCAACATAAGTCACCATATTTACTGTGCACTATGGGTGTGCACATATAGATGTGCACCTCTACTGTGCAGTCATTTCAGTTACTGCGCAGTAAATGCACACATGTAGATGCACCCACTGAGTATTATATGATCAGTGAAAGAGTCGCAAGGGGGACTTCCGTAATAACCTGGCAGGTTCACAGCAGTTCACCGGAGAAGCCATCTCACCTGTCACGTTCAGTGTATCCGGTCAGAACAGCAGAGATGGGTCACAGGAGTTCAGGATTCGCATCCAGGGTGATTATTTATCTTCCTCCTGAAAAATTCAACCTTACCTGCAAATCTCTTGCTTATTTGATGACAACACATTCATTCAAAACACTGCACCTTTGATAGGTGATTCATTCAAAACCATCCATCAGAGGTGAGTTTTTGAAAGGTTCCCACGATAGAGAAGATTTCCGTTCACAGGATGGTACCCAAGTACTTAACATGCTTTCAAAGCATTTTAAAATGCAATATGATAGGGAATTTTCTTGCAGTTGCCTAATGCCTGAGTTTTGTACATCAGGCAAGTCACCTTCCTCATGTTTTTTTTAACTTGATATTTAGTCTTCTCTGCCAAAACATCTTTCTTCACATTTCCAGCCTGTGTTACCTGAGGATCTTTTACCCCTTTTTAAATTGGTCCTTCTCCATTAATATTTAACAATGCATATTAGCAAATGAAGTCTAGCTAGCATTTGGCAAACAGATTTTTTTGCTGCAGTAAGATGCTATTAATGTGATGGTGCATTAAAAAAAAACACTGAAAGGACACAAAAGGTTTTAATTTTGAAAAAGGAAAAGCAACTGATTATACGTGAGCTTCACCTGCCAGCCAAACTGCTAGCAAGAGAAGGAATAGGGGGATGCAGTAGAGATGGAGGCCCTTAGTGATTATAGCTGATGTGCTCGATGTGATGGTTCATGTATCTGTGAAGATACACAAGAAAATAGATCAGATGAGTGAACAGCAGCTATTTTGATTAACCAAAAACCTTATCCACACAAGAACTTGCCCTGGTTTAATTATACCAATTCAGCTATGGTAAAGGTGCCAAAGGACACTCTTATTTTAGTTTCACCTAATTGGTTTAAGGGAAAATGAAACAGAAGTATCCAAACTGCCTTTTGCTTTGGTATGAAGTCACACCTTCGCATTGGGGTGACTCTCCATGTAGACAGACACATGCATGTAAAAAAATCATCATCTGGGTCATCAGCAGGGATAGAAAACAGGACTTCTAGCTCCAAAGCACTGGCCTGTAACTGTGCCCAGGTCAGGGTGAGTTTTGATGTGTGCAGAAGTGTGGACCCATGTCTGCGGATGAGGAAAAAATCACCGCTGGCAGATGAATAGGGGCAAATTTAGAAGCAGAATTGAGGCTCCTGTGAAAATGTGACTCTGGGGTCCATCTTTTTAATTCTTCTTTAAGGAGGAGCCCTAATTTGGAGACTCCCATTTACTGTTCCTGTGACAACTGTGTAAACGGTCCATGGTCTTGGCTCTTTGAATAAACTTAAATTTTTTGCCTTTCCCCTAAAAAGAGAGAGAGAGAGAGACAGCTGGAGATGGCACTGACCTCCCCACGGACTCACTGGAGATAAAGTGCCAGGATTATCCGCCTAGGCCAGCTTACTCTGGCCCACAAGTCCAACAGGTTCATTTGTGCAAGAGCTGTGTGTGTGCAAACCTTAATTACTCTTCAATCCTATACACAATAGCTGGTCTCCGAGGCACTTGGCGGGGTTAAGGTGAGTGCAGGTGGAATAGTGTTTCTTTCACAGCCTCTGTGCGTGCTTCTCTTGGGAGACGGATGAACTGGATTTACAAGGGCGGGCTGATTTGCACATAAGCAGCCACTGGCAAAGAATCATTTCCTTTTCAAACCTAAATTCAGACTTTTTGCCCCCTCCTTTCCCCCTTTCTGTCTGCTCTGCTTCTGTCCACCCACTGCCACTCATATTTCCCATTTCTTAAAGAGAGAACACAATCCATCCCCCCACCCACCCACTTCTCCCCTTGCATGAGCCTCCACCAGGAAATGATAAACAAGGAAATTACTGTTCAATTTTTACTTCTGATATGTGTCTGTATTTCAGCAAGCAAATGCACTCACAGAGGTGAGCAGCAATGCTGAGCCATGCTAATCAGACCTGTGGCAAGGCTTGGTAACAGAAGTGCACTGAGGGTCTGCAAGTGGAACCTCTCCTGTCATTCAAAAAAATATATATATCGATTTTTTTCTTAGCATAAATGGGCTGGAAAACTGAGGCAAACAGATTTTAAAGGTTACATGCAGCTGAGTTTAGCTTCCACAGAAGAAGCTTGCTAAGGACCTAAAGATCTCTCCCCAGACACATGCAAGCAGGGAGTCGAATAGAAGCTGGGGTCAACGGATCTTTTGGCAACTCCCCAGGCTGCACACTGAGGCTGGCATTGGTAAAGGGCCTGAGGAAGTTAAGCTCCTAACTCCCATCAAGAGGTAATAGGAATTGGGCTCCTAACTTCCTAATTCCTTTTGCACACTCGAGTGAGGACACCTGCTTTCAAGCATGCTCCACAAAGGAGGGAACTGCCTTCTGTCATGAGCTTGCACAAGGCAGGAGGACAAACTGGGAGTCCTAATCTTAGAGCAAATGAAGTGTCTCTTGGGAAAGCCTGACCACGCAGCTCCTTCTGATGGGAATAACCAGTTGGCATGCTCTTGGCTGCCCGGCGGTTGGCAGCCCAGCTGTCACACTAGCAGGATTCCTGACCGCTCTGAGCGGAAACGTGATGCAGGCTGTTCCATTAGGGATTTTCCACTTTATGCTAAGCGTCACAACTTATTGGTGTTGGTCAGATGAACGTGCTATTCCTTTGCATATTTATAATATCTTCTTACCTTTGCTCTTAGGAGAGGGATCATGTCGAGGCAACCCAGATTAATGGCGCCTCTGTAATATATATAGTTACATAATTAAACAGCAATACATCTTTTCAGACTGGATGCAGGGGGGTTGCATAGCAGATGCCATCTCCTATGCACCCCACAGACCTCACTTGCCAGTTCCTGTCCTGGTGCCCAGGTTCTAGTCATGGGTGTCTAATTCTCCTGGGTTAGTGGAATAGACATTTTTTCTTCATAGGGTAGAGAGCACCTGAATCAAGAGACTTGGAGTAGGCAGGTTTAGCTGCTGAGATTAAGTCTGGGGAAGCCTCCATTTACAATGAACTGAATGTCTCCCACCACATTCATTACTAATATTTGCAGCTGTTATCTTCCCTGCTGCCTGCTGGGCCTAACAGCATGTGTGGGAACCTTTGTGCTCTGTGATGCAGAGGGATTAAGAGGATGGTAGGTTCAGTGAGTTGCTTGGATCTGTCTACTCACCCACGCAGACTTCACACTCAATCTGTCCTCTGGATCTAAATGTCTCTCCCCTGTCAGTGAACTCTGGGGGAGGTTCAGAACTGAACCTACATCGAGACCTTGCAACTCAACCCCTTCTCCAGGCTCTGGCAGGCTGTTGTTATAACCAGCTGACCGACTGGCCCCCGTTTTGGATGAAAGGTCACCAGGGGTTGGAGACATGAAATAATTCGCTCCTTTGGCTAGTTTTTCAGTCCTGGCAGTTGAAATTTTAAGATCCAAAACCCTGAAGCAGAAGTGACCAGAGACACATGGTGGGACACGATCCTGGTCCTTTGATGAAGACAGGGAGGACTTTGGGAACGGCCCAGAATTTCTCCCAAGAGAAAAAAAAAATCATGCCGCACATTCATGTAGGGGCAGAGGTGCTAATGATTGGCAAGATTTGACCCTGGCCCTCATGCCAAGAACACAGTGGGTAGCAGCAGTACAAAAGGTAAATAGGAGGCAAACATAATCCAGGCACAAATCCTGACAACTGATCATATATAAACTCCAGCACCCTCAAAGCTGAACTAATGCTTGGGATTTATACAGGGCTTTCATGCTTGAGAACTGCTGAGACATTAACTGATGCCTGCTTTAAAGATCGCTTTGACGTGGATGGGTGAGTCTATTTATAAACTGAGAATGAGTGATGAAGTAACTTGACCAAGGTCACTGCAGTGTGTCAGTGTAAGAGGCAGAATCAGAGCTTGGGCTCTGCTGGCTTGCAGCCCTGTCCCGATTCCTTCCGTCAGCACTGCGGTATAGTTCTCACCTGATTTAGACTCTGGGAAGTCCCACTGAACATGGTGTGGGCAGACAATACACCCCTTTCTCCCTAGATGTGTGTGCGAATGATGTGAAAATCTGGTAACCCTTTTAAGGCTATTGCCCTTTTGTTTCTGAGCTGAACTCCACACACAGCCATTTAATCTCTGGGCATCTCAGGTTGTTTAGCTGTTCAGAAGCACACCCATAGCATTAAAGGTCTTTGATCCAATTAGACTGGTTGTGGGGTCTGGCATAGCAGAATGGCAGAGAGCAGAGCAGAGGATGAGGGGCACTGAAGATGCACGTGGTCGATCCAAGGCTGTTTCCTTCTCTAACTTCACTGAAGCAAAGGAAGGGAAGAACATGGACCTGAACGAATGAGAGCGCATCGCTCTCTCTCCAATGCTGCCCACATCCCTCTTGCAGGGAAAGGCTCTGAAACCAAACTCTAGGTTCCAGGTCACCTCTACAATCCCAAACTTAATTAAAACTGCCAGCTTCTAATTAAACCACTTAATTAAGTGCCACATTGACAGTAGGTAGAAAAAAAGACAGGACAGACTTAATTAACACAATGACATAGGCAAAAAAGAAAGAAGAAAAAACCCAAACCCAAACCATCCTTATGAGCTTGACAGCTGATTGGCAAGCAGTGTTTGGCCCAGGGCAGGACCACAAAGGGCTCTTCCAGGGCGAGCGCCCCATGGCTGGAAAGCAAAGCAAGGAACATGCATACTTGTCTGAGCCTTGCAGAAGACGATCCTTATTTCAATCCAGCAAAACACCTGGGCTGGGATTTTCCAAGAAGTGAAACCCTTTAAATTGCAAATGGGGACTGATGCTTAGCTCCCTTAGGTGCTGGGAAAATCCCAGCCTCTACTGCACATTTAAATGCCAGCAGGCCAGTTGACTTCAAGCCTAGCTTGCCTATACCCTTGATCCAGGAGGCAGAGGAAGTATTGTGACTCCCTGGGCAGCATCGGTTGAATAGTATGTGGTGAGTTATATGGGAAATGCAGCAATGCTGCGATCTCTGACAAAACTCCTAGGGTTTCCATTTCACAAAATAGCAGCAAAGACTGAGGAAAGGAGAGGCAGGTCCTGGAGCAGTG